CGTACGCGCCCGCGAGCAATACCGCTAGCCATGATAACCATGAGAAAATCAACTCGTGGGTTTCCTTTTCTTTCCTATATGAGTATGGGGCTCCGCTAAAAATTTAAAAAAATTAGCCCTCATGGATCACGTTCTCCAGACAACGTAGAATTTAGTCCTTTCACGTTGTTGTTTTGCAGAGGACGGCAAAGAAATGTACCAAGAATTATAGCGCACGTGCACAGACATTGTTCTCCTCATTAAACCTTTTGTTTAGCGGCGTTGGCGTTGCCGTCGTGGTTTTCTTAAGCTCCCTAATTACGTTTAGGCAGCGTCCACATTATGCCGGAACAATTTCGAAACGCAGCCTTATTTCTACGGTAAATAGGCCCTGCCTTCACACTAATCCGTCACGAAAACGGAGCTTTTTGAAAACGTTCTTCAAACCGGAGGAATCTGAAAACGCCGGCGTTTCGTTTCGTGAGGACGGAAAACATTTTGAAAACGCAGCTTTCCGAAAAGTATGGCGTCACAATAATCATGTGATTTCCCTGATCGAGTGGTCTTCAAACACAAATCCATAATGACGGGCGATTATTATGTTTTCAAATTCCTCAGTCCGGCTTAGCATGGACGGGTATTTAGTGCGTGTAGTATTGTAGAAAGGACAGTCTTACTTTCATTCCTACTATGATTTATGCGCGCATGCGTACCTGTAATGATTTACTGCGAAAGACACGGATGGAATTCTTCGTGGGAGCCACATCCGATGTAACAGGTTTGCGTTTGTTCCCCGTCGCTGAAGGAAAGAAAGTCTACGATTTCCTGCGAATGACTTGGTCAGTATCTTTACTTCCGTCAGTCGGACGGTGTTCCTGTAAAAAGGAATTACAAAGTCACCTCTTGGACACCAATTGAACGCCGCTAATATCCATATGCTGCTCCCAAGCCCGCGCTACAGTATTTAACAGCAGAAGGTGAGGAGGTTGTGGTACACAATGATTACCTTTCCAAAGCCTCTACCATCTCGTAACGGAATCAAACGAAAATGTGAAGAAATTTGCCTTAAATGATCCCATGCCACCGTTACAGAAAGAACCGTTCTCGTAGAAGTGGCCATGTGAAAATGCTTGTCATCCCTCGAAAAGAGATGCATTATTTTGGCGTCTAATGAACCAAGAAATTCAAAACATTTAAGGAGGGTGATAAAGTTCAGGTAACGAAAATGAGTAAACAGAGGGCGAGAAAAGCGGCAATGTTGTCGTAATTACGAAAAAATGGAATGAGTTCACATCAGAGTATTCATTCAAGTAATACCACAATTGGGTAATGGAGACTAAGGAATCCGCCAAACAAAAAGCATGTCCACTATGTAACAGAGTATTAAAGCAACTTACCAATCTTAGACTAACGAAGGTCGTTCTTTTCCGTGTCGTAAGTATGATGACAGTTATATTTTTTTCAAGATTTTTTCCCTTCATACGTGCTACCAAAGTCGTCATTCCTGAGGTTTACGAGTCTTGAATACGTTTGCACACCCCACGAACCAAGCATCAGCCGACACCCACCTTGAATGTAACTCAGATTTTTAACGGCTAGCAGTCAATGTTCTTCCACATATTGTCTTTTATTTCACCGTTGCCTGAAAATCCTATCAACTTGAAATTGCTCTACAGCTGGCTTAGAAATTTGTGAATGATATCGAAAATTGTGCAATTCCTATGTGTTTTCGTGTAGGCTTCTGTTATCGGTGCACAATGTAACCGTTAGAAAACAAACAGAACGATTCTTAAATGATTTTGACACTGGTGAGCAAACGAACAAACAGGCTCCACAAAGGTTAAACGATAAAAGGTGCTACCCTTGCCATGCGCAACGAGTGGAACAAAGTTACATTGATGTAAATGGAAAATCCGGTGTGTTGAACTGAATTCATGGACCCAGTCAATGATTGAAACAATGGTGACTGTGGCTGTATTGTGTTGTGCCGGATTTTTGCTGAAACCGCAACTGATGGAATCGATTTAGCGAAACATTGATTGTTGTTCCAAGGACCACAAACATCTTCCTCCGTAACAGCTGTGTACAGGATCCGTACCCCTGGGTATCCACAGCCGTCACTTATTCCAAACAACAGCTGACAAAAAAAAAAATTGCTTAAATGCAGGTCTGAATGTCTTTCATTCTCCTCCTTAAAAGCACAGCGGTTTACCAATCGATTTAATGGCCCTATCTCTAGGAATTTTGAGCGTCTTCGTTCTCGCTAATGCGCTAGTCTCCGTGTTGTCTTGTGGAGGCGGGCCAAAGCCTTGTTCATGGACCACGTGTCGCCTTGAATGGAGAAACGATTGGAGTCCCAGTGTCCCTACGGGACAGTGTGTGAATCAGCGCCGTAATGGGCATCAAATTACATCCAAACACAACGGCAAGGGATCGTGTCCTTCGCCATCACCATGCAGTCCTCAATCACAGTCCAGAACATTGTGTAAGTTTGGATCGATTACTCTAGATAATTTTTTCGAAACTCTACCATAAATCCCTTTATCTTATAGTTAGGGTTTAAGGAAACGGCTATGCCAACAAAAGATCTTTTTAAGTCCAAAACTAGAGTAACCACTATACAAGGTCGGGAGTAGCGATCCCAATATTCCTACGAAATCTATCCATTGATATGTCATACTTATATATATTTATATGTATGTATTTTGCTTTCAAGTTAACTTTGTAACATATAAATGCGAGTGAAATTATTAGTTAAATGTACCAGAGTAAATTGCGATTACCTTTGTGTTACGCAGGAGGAAACGATTTTCAAAGGAGAAACCTCCATCGATTCTATTAGCTAGTAGACCACAATTAACATAGTACATAAAAAAGCTCATCGTGTTAGCACAGCTAATGAGTTACAGACCGCCTACAGTTCATTTTAAACAAAACGAAAAAAAAAAAGAGCCGAGAATTATTCAACGTTAACCAAACTTACGAAGCATCCTGTAATGCCTAAAACTTCTAATCCTGTGGCTATGTCAAATCAAATCTTTATTCGCACATTTTAATTACAGAGATAAGAAAAGCAGAAAACAGAAGAACAATATGTATAGCAGCCAAAATTGCAGAGCTTTCGATTTGTTCCCTGCTTATTCACAGATAATGGAAAGGAACAGGAAAAGCGAACATAAATTACATTGAACTAATACACAGGAAAGAGAGGAGTTACAAAAACTAAAAGCAAACATAGTCAGCGAAATAATATTTAAACAACTGGCAAGTCCAAAGTAACTTGTAGAGTAACATGACATTCTCATCATGATTTCATGGGGAGATTATGATGCAAGCAAACTCTAAGTTCTTTACCGTAGAGAAACGGAGTTTTTTTGTTCAGCTGGAGCAAAGTTTCTCCTTATTCTTCTTTTATCGCTGGCGACTGAGAATTCCAAGGCTGTCAACAATAATTGCAGCACCATAAATAATGTTCTGTTACCTCGACAAAACTAATGTCACGGTGTAATGTATTTTTATCCTTTCCCATACAATACGGCTATTTGTTTTATCGTTACATGGTAAAATAACTACGGGTAAATAAGTCGGAAGCTTTATACTTGAATAGTGCATTCCTTAGCCAAATAACTGGACGTGCTTTTTTTTCTCGGAAATTCAACACTCGACCGAATTTGTGACTTTTGGTGACGAAATACCATGCAAAATTACTTAACAAAGAAAGGTTAATTGTTTCATTGCAGATGAGAAATTCTCCTCGTAAATTCGAATTCCTTATAAGCTGTTGACGCAACTTAAGTTAGTCTCAGCTTGACATGACATCAAAAGTACATTTCACTGGGTAGAGCAACCTGAATATGAGTATACAAAAATCCAAACCTGTAAACATGTCATTGTGAAGCTACTCCAGTCTAGTCTTTAGCTCTGCCTCACCCATTGGGAAAGGCTTTCTGATACTTAATCGCCCTAGTGTGAAGGGGATGAAAACTGGCTACTCCATGATCATCAAATTTACTGTTTATTTACAAATCGATTAAGTCGTAATACCCAGCTCAGTAGCCAGGCGTTCTTTCTCCGCGTCTCTTCCGGCCTATGAACATGGCTTGCGCAAATTTTAAGGGCGTTACCAAAAATCCGTTCACAGGTCCTTACGAGTACTTCGTGCTCGCCGACGACTGGAAGAGAAAGCCTGGGGGCTAGGCTACAGAGCATGTGCATGACTGCCACTTTCTCTGCTGTGGAAGATTTCAATCCCTTCTGGTGGCATTCACGAACAAAACAACTTATAGGGAGGGCGAAACAAAAACAGACCAGATCGACGGCGAAGCAACACTTTTCTGTCAAAACAAAACATCAAAGCCTGACTAGCCTCGCTTGAATGCGACTCGTTCCGGGTGACAACCGAGCGGTCCGCCATATTTGCATTCAGTGTATAAAATCTATTATTGTGTGTATTTGCGTTCGAGAATGCCCGAACGAATCCAATTGTTCCATATTAGTGTCAAGCTTTCGGCGTCGTTAATGCCAATTAACGTAAAATCCTTTCCTTTAAACAATCGCCAGGGTAACATAGAATCTTTCCGTACAACAGCTGTGTAAATTCATTAAAATTTCCATATCTCTAACTGTCATTCAAGCCAACACGTAAATGAAAATAACATCCGTGGCATTCATTCGCAAAATCTTTCATACCGAGTTTAGAACGCTCCTTTTGTCAACTAAATGACGGTTCCACAAGTCTTGTCCTTCCTCGTTCTCGCCAACGCCCTTGGCGGCGTGTTTTCTTGTGGGGGTGGATCACCGCCGCCGCCTTGCTCATGGCAAACGTGCAGTCACGAATGGAGGAACGATTGGAGTCCCGGCATTTCTACAGGACACTGCGTGAATCAGCACCGTAATACACACCACATTTATACGACTCACCATGGCTCGGGTTCGTGCCCAGCGCCTTCAGTATGCAGTCATTCAACTCAGTATAGAACTATGTGTAAGTATGACAACAGAAATTGGGCATGGCGTTGATGTTAATCATAAATCATCAGAGAATATAGTAACTTTTCAGACGAAACTTTTGCGTTCAGTCAACTTGATGGTATTCCGTTTTTATTCAAATTTTTCGGGAGCTCAAACATTTCTTCCGGAGACACAGAGAAATATTTTTGCGACAACAAGTTCTTCGAACAATTTTGAAGCTAAACTTGTTAAAGATTAAGACCACCTTGTAAGGAACGAACCATAACCTAATCGGTCATAACAGACAAAACATGTTAAAACATGCTAACTAGACTAGAAGTCAGGCGTATAAACCAAATCTTTAGAGGCGGGGGAAAGTCTAAGCCAGTGACCGCCTGTTAAAGGGAACGTGATAACCCCTGGGAGGGGTTACTCCCTTATATGGACTATATAGGTATGTGCGACCCCAAAGGGTAGGGTTTTTCAGTCGTTTTCGTCATAAATAGGGTATTGATATTGGCCCTTTTGGTCTTAAATAAGGTATGGTTTTAGCACTCTGATCTTGAATTGGGTATGTTTCTTAGAAGAAGCTACTTTTTCATCATTATCAATAAGAACGTCAACAAAATCCCTGCATAACTTAGGTTTAAGGCAACTGCGCCAGCCGCAACGGTCATTAATATCGTATCGAATTTTTGGCCAGGTCATAAATAGAGTAGGGAAAATCGCAGATTTTGGTCATAAATAGGGTAACGGTTTTGGAAAGTGGGCCACACACCCCAACCCAATTTTTCTGGGATACTCCCTCTAACACTATAATTTAGTTACCTTTAATTTAGTCAGAATAATACACTGAAAGCTAGAAAAAATCTATAACAACAGTGAACCTTTTTGAATGAAGAGATCTTTCACAATCTTGGATATGCCATTTGCTTCAATTATTCCTGTGCCGTCATCAAGAAAGAGGTCATCACCATCTGCTGAGACCAGAACTACTATACCTTGCACCCAGAGTTGACTAAAACAAACTTCGCAGTTGCCGTCACTGTACATCCATTGGTCTGTGGCCCCCTTGACATTTGACGTATGTTGTGGTAACTGACAGGCAAAGAATTTCTTTGCTGGAGCGTCAAGACTGAATGACTGTTTCTGTGACATTTAGCACTGCAAGACAGCAAACGATAGGTGGGTTTCCATACAAGCTGTACTGAAGTATAGTAGCTATCAGTTACCAGTTTCCTCATATGGTGCACTCATTTCCCAAGGGGAGCCTAAACGCATGTCAATCCTAAACCCCCAGGGGACAATGTTCCCACACAAAATTATCTATCCCCCGATCTGTCCCGGGTCTGAGGTGGAGGGTGGGGGAACAGCTGGCGGGCACCGGTGTCCACCGACTAGGCTTTTCATTTTAACCAATTTTAGCAGTTTTTTAGTCGAATATTTAGTTTTTGTTCTTTTCAATATATTCTGTACAGTCCTCAGTTAGTGATTTTGAACTGCTATTTTAGTATCGACACTCAAAAAAAGTACGGGGCAAGCTCATTCGATCGTTCATTAGCTAAAAGTTTCAGAAGTTTTCATTCCACTACAATTTAGAGTACACATTTCCCTCTATTACCATACCTAATATAGCCCTTAAAATCACTATCAGCAGCCGATCCGGTAAACAAGAACCTACCTACAAGCTATAATCTACATCCATTGTGAACAAGCTCGAAGTACGTAAAAATAAACACGCGCCTTCCCGCCATTTTGAATTGTTTGGTTGCCGCTGAGAGCCTGGGTGCTATTGTTAGTGACGTCATACAATATGGCGGACCGCATGAACTTTGACAGTAGTGTGTTGAAAATGAGGGTTACGAGGACTTTATTTCGTTTTATTCCAGAACTATGATTGACGAGAATTTAAGTTTAAGGGACGAGCTACAATGTCGAAGAAACGAGTGGCTTATTTTTACGACGAGGACGTTGGAAACTTCCATTACGGTGGGTATTTGAATTGGAAGCTTGGAAATTTAGGGTTATTATTGAAATTTCCTCCGTTTATCTGCATGGTAGCATGGATCAGGACGTTCTTAGGATCTTATCTATCCTTTTATTGGAGGATATTTTGTAGTTATTCCTGTCATTTTTCTACAATAAGCTTAGGCGTCAATCTAATACCAGATCAGGATGAAAACTTTGAAGAAAAGAGTCTGACGAAAACTTCATTTTTGTTACGTTGACATTGGATTCTATCCATTATTAGGTTAAATTTACACGAATCCTAACATTACGTTTAAGCATTTTAAACTTACTGTAGTCTAAATTATTTCTGAAGCTGTGAAAATTAAGTACTTGGGACATTCACCCCCTCCCTCTTCAGCAAAAAACTGGGGTGTCAGAACCAGTCCCTGTGTGTGGTTAAAAAATGTGGAAATATGTCCCATTATATAATTAAGATTACTTTTCTGCTTCTATTGTTAGGCCTTAATCATCCGATGAAACCCCACAGACTCACATTAACACACAACCTTGTGTTTAACTATGATCTTCACAAAAAAATGGAGGTAACAAACTGCTTTGTGTATTATACAAATACATACACATGTTGTCCATTTGTAGAGGTGTCTCGGTCTCACAGTTTTAAAAAGTTAAAATGCCTTGGGCTTAGGAAGAAAAATGCTTGTCTCTCTGCCTGGCAAAGTCTCACATTTACCTTTCAATACCCCAATTTGTAAGTGAGTCATCGAGTAGTTCAACAGAGTGCATGCATATCATAATTTTTGTTTAAATGATAAATCCTTTAAATATCATTTTGTTGTTTAAAGGATCTGTGAAATGTTTTATGAGGTTTTAAAGTGCGCATGCTATTTTTCATGATGTACATTGAAAGAAACACTTGTACTTGATATGAATTTATCTTTTTTTCTGGTACAGGTGTATAAGCCTTACAGGGCGACATACCATGACATGTGCAGATTTCATTCTAGTGATTATATACAGTTTCTGAGAAGGTAGGATGAAGAAAAGTCTACTCTAGAGGTTTTTTTTTTCTTCAATAGGAACCATACATGTATCATTTAAGGTTGTCTTCACTAGCAACAAAGTCAGAGTTATGGTTGGAATTGTAAGAGCACTTACATGACCTAGTAAAAATTGAAAGCAGAGTCATAAGCTCAACGGAATTGGAGGCGCAAGGATCAGAATGCTTTCATTTCTTCTTCCATTTTATGACTCTGTTGCTTATCATCCAGCAAAAACTAGGTCGTCAGAGTCAGAAGCAGAAGCAGAAGAACCACACAATCACGAGGTCTGGAATTGAGCATTGGGATTGGTTTATTCATTCACATGCTTCCAACTCCAACAGTGCAGTTTTCACTAGATCGTAAGCAACAGAGTCGCAAGTGGAATCAGTGTTTTGCTTCCAACTCCTCTGGGTTCATTTTAGCTAGATCATATCACTCTGTGCTTCTGATTACAACTCTGAATCTGACTCTGCACTAGTGAAAACCAGCCTTTAGAGTTATAACTGATTCAGTCCAACCTGCACCATGAGCCAGCTCTCTACAACTCTCTACAGTGGCCAGAATTCTTTGTTCTAGCACTCTACCAACCCATACTCATGAACTTGCTGATTGAAAGTTAGTTCCCTGCTTGTAATGACCACCTCTATGCACTGGCCATTTTATTCTGCTACAGTGTGGCCTTAAAAAATAGGGTTAAGTTGTACATGTACATGTATATTGGCTGTTTGGCAGGCAGTAACAAATTGGAAAAGTTTTACTCTAGGCTTGTCAGCTTAAATTTAAATTGACCAAGATAGTGCTGGCATTTGCAAACTTTGAAAATTGTCGTATGTACACACTGTATTGTGCTACAGAAACTGAAGTTGAATACATTTAATACACTGTACAACTTTAACTGTTTTAAAAATACATTGTTACCCCATTAAAATCATAAATTGCTACACTGTAGCTGTGAACTACACATTGAATGTTACACAATATAAGTAAGTTATCAACAAAAGCGATCTAACTTGAAGATGTTATTTTTTTCTACTCACTAGGGTAACACCACAAAACACAATAGGACAAAACAAAGTGGTGAATAATTTTAATGTTGGAGAAGACTGGTGAGTTTATGGTTTTTCTAAGTGACTACCAATAATAAATACCACGGATTATACATGTGTCGTGATGAAGGAAAAATACAAGTGTACATGTGGGTCAGCATGGTGGGCTTGACATTTTGGCTTGTAAGTTGTACATTGTAAACATAATTATGTACATGTACATGTATGTTGGCAAAGATTGCTTTTTCCTTTTGTGTGATGTACTAGCCATTCTTGTAGCAGACCAGAGGTCCATTCCTCGAAGGTGCCAAAAGGTTTTTGCATCCAGAAAGCCACATTAAAATCTCAGACCTTATAATTACAGTTCTCACTGTTTTATTCACAAATTGTTTATATGAACAAACTTTCTCTTGATACAAGAAGTTTCAGGTACTAAAAACGGCTTTGCAAGCCCAAAAAGTTTCCGGGGCTTTCAAGAAATAGGCCCCTAATCTATGTCCCTGATAAATTCAAAATACTTTTTGTTAAGGGCTGTTACTAGTTGTCAATCAGCTAATTCCAATACTTCTACATATTAACCCACATTAACTGTGAGTCTATTTTTTAGTCCTGTGTTTTCTGGCCTGTTTGACTTCTGTTCAATTTACACGGGTGCATCACTGGAGGGGGCTGTGAGGCTTAATCAAGGGGTATGTGAATAGCTGCAATCCATGCAGGCTTGTTTACAATAATCAATGGATATGACATGAACAGATTATTAATGTTATCAGTGCCTTATTTTTTTTTTTTTTGTACAGTTTGGTGCACAGAGTGATTCATTTAATTGTGATTAATCTGTCTTTGTGTCTTGAAGTTCTATAATGAATGAGAACATAAAAATTGTCCCTTTTCTTTTGCTTAAAAGGTATGTGACATTGCCGTCAACTGGGCAGGAGGGCTGCACCATGCAAAGAAATGTGAGGTTAGTAATACATACAAATGTACTATCGATTCTTTTTAATCCTAAACACAATAAATCATAGCTTGTTGTCGTGTGAACCAGCACTAGTTGCAGTTAATATCTCATGTTCCCATAATAGCATAAAGTGACCATGTACAGGGCTTCTTGTCCAAGATAGTTAGTTTAACATGTACACGGACAATGTATGTGTTTGCTGACACGTCAAAACTCTTTCACTAGGCTTCAGGATTCTGTTATGTCAATGACATTGTAGTTGCAATACTGGAACTTTTAAAGTAAGTTGTAACTCTGTATGCGTTTTTTTTTTGGAGGTCACTGTGGAGTGTTATTTTCAATGTTATGTAAAATAACATTGTTGCAATAGTATTGTGATTTACTTCTTTTCATATCATCTGAAGGAAAAGCCTTTTGACATTATTATATTGATTTATTACCGTTCTTGTTTGTGTGTTTGTTTTTCTAATTTATTTATTTATTTTTTTAAATTCAGATATCATTCCCGTGTGTTGTACATTGATATTGACATTCACCATGGTGATGGAGTTCAGGTAACCAAATCAATTCTTTTGATTTTACTTTTTTTTCCATGACCTTACTCTGCAAATTATGATTTGAACACCAAGTGCTTGTATTTGTAAATTGGACTTTCCTGTCTTTACAACACATTCACCATGTATCTAGTGATAAACTATGTACTGAACGATGCTGGTGCAATTGCAGGAAGCATTTTACTTGACTGATCGTGTTATGACGCTATCCTTTCACAAGTTTGGCAATCAGTTCTTCCCAGGAACAGGTAAAGATTTCACTCCACTGGTCCAAGGTCTAAAATTTAATTTCAGTCAGTAGTTGAGTCCTGTCATGATATCACAGGCTTACCAAATTTACGATTCAAGGGGTCAAATCAAATAGATATATTAATGAACAGATTTATGTATGCATATCAAGTGGGACTTGGCCACCTAAAGTATGCGGTGTTGTGTTTCACTTTGGGCTGTTGATAGTTTGAGCACTCTAAAAGGCATTGCTTGGAGTTTTAAATAACGAAAAATAAAAACAGGCAACGAAATAAAATGTTACTTCTTTTGAATGAAATAAAGAAAATATACTCACCTTGGTCTCTGTTGTCCATTTGACCTATTTCATCGTTTTTGGTTTTTTTTTGAGGTGTTTGTGGAGCTTTTGTTGGCATACTTTAGGTGTTCACATCCCACTCGACACGCATACATAAATCATTAACATTGGATCGATTCCTCGAATCGTGAGTTTGGGATGCCTGTGGTGATATTGGACTGGCTGTATACATCCTAGCAGGGACTGGAATCTTGGGATGGAATAGTCTGTACATGTATGCTAGGTATATTTTAGTTTGTGAGCACCATCTTTTTAATGGGTGACCAAGCACCATCTTGGATTCTGAAAACTGAGTGAGTTTCCTNCATAAATCTTCACAGAATATGGCAACTTTTCAGACGAAACTTTTGCGTTCAGTCAACTTGATGGTATTCCATTTTTATTCAAATTTTTCGGGAGCTCAAACATTTCTCCGGAGACACAGAGAAATATTTTTGCGACAACAAGTTCTTCGAACAATTTTGAAGTTAAACCTGTTAAATATTAAGACCACCTTAAAAGGAACGAACCATAACCTAATCGGTTATAACAGACAAAACATGTTAAAACATGCTAACTAGACTAGACGTCAGGCGCATAAACCAAATCTTTAGAGGTGGGGGAAGTCTAAGCCCGAATTGCACTTTATCAGTAGCGACGTTTACCGTCGATGGATCGCGGTGGCTGGAGATAGCCGGAGGATTTTTCTCGTAGAAAGCGATCGCCTGTGAAAGGGAACGTAATAACCCCTGGGGTGTACTCCCTTATATGGGATATATAGGTATGTGCGACCCCAAAGGGTAGGGTTTTTCAGTCGTTTTCGTCATAAATAGGGTATTGATTTTGGCCCTTTTGGTCTTAAATAAGGTATGGTTTTAGCGCTCTAATTTTGAATTGGGTATGTTTCTTAGAAGAAGCTACTTCTTCATCATTATCAATAAGAACGTCAACAAATCCCTCCATAACTTAAGTTTAAGGACACTGCGCCAGCCGCAACGGTCATTAATATCGTATCGAATTTTTGGCCAGGTCATAAATAGGGTAAGGAAAATCGCAGATTTCGGTCATAAATAGGGTAA